CACTGGCTCCAAGCCAAGGGGCTACAGGTGCTTCCATACTTGGACGACTGGCTCCTTTGCTCCCACTCTCACGAGCAGGCAGTGTTAGAAATCACACAGCTACTGACACATGTTACTCGACTGGGCCTTTCTGTGAATTTCAGCAAGAGTCAATTAGCTCCAAGTCAGTCGGTGAGGTTCCTAGGTCTCACGCTGGACTCACGGTCAATGAAAGCCGCTCCATCAGAACAACGAGTGGACAATATACTACTCCTCCTTCAACGGTTTCGGAGGCAGGCCAGACTTCCATTCAGGTGCTTCCTCAAGCTCGCAGGTATGTTGGCAGCAGCAGCGGCAGTCATACCATTGGGCCTCCTGTCATTACGTCCCTTTCAAATATGGATGAACAGTCTTCACTTGAACCCCAGTTGGCACAGGAACAGGTTGATCAAGGTGACACAGCGATGCCTTCTGGCCCTGAGGTCTTGGAGGAGCAGACCGTATCTGACCAAGGGGGTTGTTCTGGGCATGATTCCCTCTCGGAGGGAGATAGTCCAGACCGATGCGTCCCTTACTGGCTGGGGGGCAGTGTGGCAACACAGACCAGTCACAGGACAGTGGGGTCCTCGGGAAAGAGACGAGAATATAAATACCCTGGAACTTCGGGCAGTTCAGCGGGCTCTGAAGCACCTCGCTCCATTTTTAAAGGGCAGGCATTTTCTCGTCAGGACGGACAACAAATCAGTGGTTTATCACATCAACCATCAAGGGGGCACAAGGTCCAGCCAATCCCTGCAACTATCACAGGAACTGCTGACTTGGGCCTTCCCTCGCTTTGCAAGCATCAGAGCAATGCATATCCCAGGGGTATCAAACGTGGTTCCAGATTTCTTGTCGCGCCGCAGAATTCCATCGACGGAGTGGAGGCTCAACCCGGAGGTGGTGGAGATGATATGGCAGCGGTTTGGCAGGGCAGAAGTGGACCTATTTGCCTCGGCAACAACGACCCACTGCCGTCTTTGGTTCTCTCTAGCAGAGGAATCCAGTCCGCTGGGGCAAGATGCTCTAGCCCACGCCTGGCCAGATCGGTTACTCTATGCCTTTCCCCCGATACCGATGATCGGGGTGACTGTTCACAGGGTTCTCCAGGAGCACCACAGGCTGCTGCTAGTGGCGCCAAACTGGCCGGGGAGACCGTGGTTTCCAGTGTTATACAAACTCCTAGACGGGAATCCTTGGACCCTTCCCAGGAGAAAAGATCTCCTCCAGCAGTGGGAGGGTCATATTTGGCACCCGAACCCAGACCGCCTGAAGCTCTGTGTGTGGCCTCTGAGGGGCCGGAACCACTCTTTGGGGCGTGCGATCAAGGGGTCCAGAACACCATATTGAACTCTAGAGCACCTTCCACCAGGAGTGCTTATGCCTATAGATGGAAGCTTTTCTCTGAGTGGTGTTCAGAGCAAGCAGTGGTCCCAGAACACTGCCCTGTTCCTCTGGTGTTACGTTTTCTGCAGTCACTATTAGAAAATAATAGAGCAGCTGCTACTCTGAGAGTTTATGTGGCTGCAATTTCAGCACATCACGTGCGAATAGATGGTCAGCAATTGGGTTCTCATGCCTTGGTTACTCAGTTTCTTAGAGGTGCTCAGCGACTGCGCCCCCCTCAGTCCGTTAGGGTTTCTTTATGGGACCTGGGCCTAGTATTAAAGTCTCTTACATTGCCACCGTTTGAACCTTTAGAGCACAGCGATCTGAAATGGATCTCATTGAAGGCAGCGTTTCTCTTAGCCATTGCTTCGTCTAAACGGGTGAGTGAACTCCACGCGTTATCAGTTAGCGCATCCTGTATGCGTTGGAACGCAGATGGCTCAGTCGTGACGTTATGGCCCAACCCAGCATTTCTCCCCAAGCGGCTGTCTGCCCTTTTTAGGAACCAGGCTATTGAGCTGGCAGTATTTAATCCTCCGATGTCAAGTGCGCTGGAAGGAGATGGAAGCACACTGCTGTGCCCAGTAAGAGCTCTCCGAGGATATCTGAAGGCCACGGAAGTTGTTCGGAAATCAGACCAACTTTTTCTCTGTTACGGGGCCCAAAAAGAGGTCAGCCCCTCTCAAAGCAGAGATTGTCGCACTGGGTAGTGGAGGTTATCACCCACGCTTACACATCTAATAAATGTCCAGTGCCTTTGGGGGTGAGATGCCATTCGACGAGAGGAATATCAACATCTTGGGCTGCATTAAAAGGGGTCCTTCTGAGTGACATCTGTGCGGCAGCTACATGGTCATCAACAAATACATTTGCCAGATACTATAGGGTGAATGTGGCTGCTTCTGGTAATATTGGAACAGCCGTCCTCTCCGGACCCTCAACTTCCTCTTAACAGTGAGTAGGTCCTCCTCGTGACCTTGTTGTTATAAGTCATCCAGTGTGAAGCACTGCCTCTGGCGGTCAGTAAGAACGAAATAGAACGAGAGTTACGTAGGTAACTGCGGTTCTATGAGTTCTGGATGACCGCCAGAGTTTTCTGTCACTCGGAGTCAGGCGAGAAGATTCCGTAGGGACAGTCTGCAGGAAGTCACGGGGTTAAATAGAGGAGCACCTGAGTCATCCTGGTCACGTGGGACATTGTTTGTATTAGACTCGACCTATGCATTGCAACGAGAGATAGTATCCAGTGTGAAGCACTGCCTCTGGCGGTCATCCAGAACTCATAGAACCGCAGTTACCTACGTAACTCTCGATACATAGTTCCCACATGACGTCACAACATACGGGCATTTGCCGACCCGGCGCCATTGCTTAGGGCAAAACATAAGAAGAAGCAATACGAGTTGAACGAAGTGAAATGAGTTTCGTGCTATAAAGTGAAAATGGTCATCACCTGCTGAGTCAATGGATGATAAAATCGTGCCGGAGGTTCAGTTAAATCGGGATTTTACACTATACCCGTCATTAGACTCCATATGGATGTGAGAAGACTAAGCTTTTGTCCGAACAACGACGGAGATTATGGCTGGTGAGCATAAACAGGAAAGAAACTCACTCAAAACACGCAAGAATTTGTTTGACAAAAGCACAATGTTGTGTTTTATTGCGAGTGTAAATAAATATAAGTTAACACGTTGCAGTTTGAATAATGTCCTGTATGAACAAAATGACGAGGTATTAAAAACATACAAAACAACATTGTTTCCACTGTTTGATCTCACATTCCAGCATTGCAATCTCAGATTATGTCCCTAAAGATCCCGCGTATTTATTACATTAATTAAATTGCACGCGAGTTATTTATTTTAATATTCATGCACCGAACCATGACGCCCGCAAGTACATGCATATTACAGAAATCACCGGTGACTGGGGAACATAGGAATTAAGTTGTGCAGGCTATGGCTTTTTAATAGACAGATTAGCATCATGCTACTTCGCTATGATGACTTAAGTTACTTTTCCATTGATTGCACTTGAGCAAACGTCACCAAACCAACCCCACGTCAATCTGATCGTACACCTCCAGTGATTTCCAGGCTTGGAATTGCTCACATGTGTAAAAACTCCTCACCAATACCAGATAATTGTAAAATACTGTATCTGAGGCAAAGTTGCATAATCGGTGCTCAGTGCTTCTTTTGTTGCTTAAGGATACACACCATTTATGAATGAAATTTTCGCATTGTACCTCTCTATGTCTTGTTTTAATAGTCTCTTTATAATCTATTACACTTTGTCTTTTCATGATTTGCATACCAATATAAACAGACATAAATATTTGTTTGTAAAACGACATTCTCTGATAAAACGTTGTAAACGCCTATGGTAAACACAGCGGTTTTGCCCTCAAAGATGGCGTCTCCGGGGAGGTCACGTGACAATTTTTTTGCCTGTGGGAACTAGAATCGCTAACATCCAATAGGAAAATTCAACTGCAGTAGCCACTGTTCAACCTGAAGAGGGCAGCATTAAGACGTTTTTACACCATATATTGTAGAAATAAAACACGTTATACACAAATGTCAAAAAAGTTACTCGAATCAATGACTGGTATTAATAAAGATCCATTACAGATCATTAACTAAAAAAAGTTGGTTTAGGGTTTAGTCACGCTTTAAACCATGCCAATTTTTTTGAGACCTGTAGCAGGCATCAAATTTAAAATAAGCTTATTTTGTGCATAAAATTGTAAAATGTGTTCTATTGTGAATAAAATATTGGCTCATGTGATTTGAAAATCGTAGTTTTAATTTTATTCAAATTTAAAAAAATGTCCCAACTTTTCCGGAATTCGTGTTGTATAGAGGGAAGACTAACTAAATACTGTATGTGCACTGTATTAAATATTCATTATATTTTTATATCTTTAAAATATTTTAACGTTGTTATTATAGGCTAGTAAAAAACACATTATATTTATAACCTTAATAATTTTAATAATACCAGCTGAAAGGGCTCTCTGTATGTTTACAGAGTTTTTTTCTTGATAAACTGTAGGCTACCTTTTTTTCTTGATATACTGTAGGCTACCTAATATTTATCCAAATTAAACAATATTGAATTAAGACACGAATCAAATCACAAGATTTGAATTGAAATCGTGAAATTTGTGTTAAGCAATTCATTCTAAATTATATCTAGCATTAAAGGAGTTAAAAGTTGCACATTTTGCTTTGGCAACAAAGACAGGGAAACATTGCTTCATTGTTTAGACAGACATTCCCGTACGTCCAGCTGTAGGAAGTAATACCATTGCCTTATGTGGTCTGTCTAAATAGCCTGCCTAGTGATATGTGGGTTCAGCTTCAACATCTCTTGAATACACGATTTTTATAATAAAAACATTTTTATAAAGCATGATAAACCATCACATAGCATGCTTCAGGTATGACATTCATGATACAACTTTAAAAATTCCTGGCACTCATCAAGGTTTCAGTCACACCACTGGCTACTACCACTCAGCAAGACACCAAAATTGCAAGTCACTTTTTATGCATATTAAGCTAGCTGATCAATAGCCTACTTACCGTTGATGGTGGTAGTGTGGGTGTGTGCCATTACAACTGAAAGCAAGATTATTTTAATCATCATGACGACGACTAATTCTAACAACAGACGTTTTACTCCAAAATCTGGACACTAGATTTGCCAAGTGCGATTTGTGAGCCAGTCATTCATTTGAATCGGATGAACCGGTTGAGCAGAGCCGATGGGTTATGTCCTAACAAATTAAAGTTTTAAAGTCAACAGACTCAACACCTATCTGGACTCTGGACTGGCTCAAAATATAAGTAGCCTAGATCTCTTTCTAATCAATATAGTTGTTTTAAAACGTAAACGCCCGATTATGTGAAGCCATAGGGATGCAGCGTTCATTTATGCAGCATCCCCCACAATCTCATCCTCACATGACTCATCATGATTCGTTAAGGACATTTGATCATGACAACATTTGATTGATGTGGGGAAATTTACGGATGAAATATAGCGGAAATCAGGGTCGTGCGCTGCGGAGAGTGTGGGGCAGGGGCTCAAATGTATAAGTTCACCCATTGCATTTATTTCATCAAAAATACAGAAAATGTTATACTTTTATATTACTACAATTTAAAATAATGGTTTTCTATTGTAAAATACGTATGATGACCTTTGTTACTTTTTCGGGATTTATTTAATTTATTTAAAATAGAATATTTTGTGCCATACAAAAAAGATACAAATACCATACACAGTTCATCCTTAATTAAAAAGAAATAGGCCTAAATAAAAAAAATACTTTAATTCAGTAGGGATATGTTAAACTGATAAAAAAAAGATAGTAAAGATTTTATTCTTCATCCTATTTTAATAAATTGCTGTTCTTTTTTTTTCAGGTTCCAAAAAACAAAACAAAACAAACAAATAAAACATTAAGCAGTAATATATATATATATATATATATATATATATATATATATATATATATTACTGCTTAATGTTTTGATATATATGTGTGTGTGTGTGTGTGTGTGTGTGTGTGTGTGTATTTTTTATTTAAAAAATGCAGGCTTGATTTGCTACGTATCATGACGTAGGCCTAATATTAAGAGTTTGTGTGCTGGTGATGTTTTCTTCCCTCCTTCTGTGTTTCTCCCTCTCAGCACCCCAAATCACCTGCAGCTGGTGCTGATTAACAGGAGTGGGTATAAAGCAACTCTGAACACTATTAAGTGTTCAGGAGGAATCCCTCTTCGGCTATCCCAGACGTTGTGGTGTTATTTGTTGTTAAACCTGATTTGTGAGATCTGCGTTTGAGTTCCACGAGCTCTTAGACTGTGTGAGTTTAAGTTGTTCAACCGTGTAGGGAGACGGATGCCAATTTGTTTGAGTATCCTGAACTTTTCTCCTGTTAGTCAGTGAGAGAGGTAAGATAATTGTCTTTGATTTAATTTTCTTTTTGTTAGGAAATTTAATTGGGTTTAAACTTTAGGAAGCCCCCATTTTTTTTTGTTATTTTGGCCTGGCCCTCTCCTGACGATTTGGCAAGCCTTTGTTGGCCTCTTTAAAAGAAAATAAAAACTACTTAATCGTTCTCTCTCAATTTCCTTTTGTGACAGGTTAAGTTAAACGTTGAAGGTAAAATTTTCCTCAGCATTATTTCCCAGAGATTGTCCACCTACCTATTAAAGAATGCGGCTTCATTGACACTTCAGTTCACGGCATTCCAGGGTTCTCAGGATGCTTAGAACACATCAATGTTATCTGGCAACGAATTCAGTCAGTTAAAAAGGAGAGGAAGGAGCTCCTTATGACATTACTGGATTTTGCTAATACATATGATTCAGTGCCACAGGAGCTTCTTTGGGCAGCATTTGATATTTTTCAGAGTACCAATGTCAATAACAAATTTAGTGAAAGCCTATATTTTGGAGATTTGCAAATTAGTTTCTCAACTCCAGAATTCAGCACTACATAGCAATGCTTAGAGGTTGGAATAATGGCAGGATGCACCATTTCTCCACTGGCTTTTACCATGGCAATGGAAGTAATCATTAGGGTATCAAGATGGGTAGTAGGAGGAGAGCGTTTCAGTGATCATAGAAGTCAGATAACTCTCATCACATTGTAGCACAAAGTTGTTGAAAAGGCTAAATGTGTTTTGATATTGCCATCTAGAGGAATAATCACAGCTTCTGTGAAAGGAAAAACATTATATAATTATATTTATAATTATATAATTATATTTTAAATGATAGGCCAACCAGCTTTAATCATATTATTGGAAATCGCAGGGTGTATCATATGGTAATATAAAAATATTATTTATGGGGAGTGTCGATCCAACCTTATGTTTTCACATATCTGTTTGAGTGAATTAACAACATGCCACACTGGATAACAGGCCATTCTCACTCCCAAGGCGTCACCTAACTGACGCCTTGGGAAGCATTTGGACATGCTTCAATATCTGACGCTTTAGGCGCCCTTTAGCGTCAGTAAGATGACGCCCTAGGATCGCGTGTACCCTACCCCCACCCCACACCTAAACCTAACCGCGTCCTCTAACTGACGCTTTCCTTTAGCGTCAGTTAGATGACGCCGTAGGATCGCGTCATGTAAGTGACGCTAAAGGGCGCCTAAAACGTCAAATATTGAAGCATGGTCAAAGGTGACGCCTTGGGGTGAGAATGCGTTGTGGATAAACATCTGGAATTTGCCATCTAGTAGATTTTTTTTTTCACTTCCTCTGTGAGCCTCCATGTAAAGAACAAGAAAAGCACTCCATCCATATATTTCACAGGTTTCTGATAATATTGTCTTTTATAATCACATTAGTTGAAGAGTGATATGAAATTCGTATTCGCTAATATTTTGATTTAAGAAAGAATGATTTTATTGATGACATTAGTTTCATTAAGAAACAGAGGGACAGTGTCAACACAATTGTATACATATTTAACAATGTATTATATAATGAAAAACAGTAGTTTATTAGCACATTAATATAACATTCAGATTTGAGAATAGTTATCTCTCTGGAATAGGGAATTTATGCTTATCTGTACAAGAGATTCATATAATGCAACAGGGAAAAATGACTATAAGCAACCTTATTACACCTCCACTGTATGAGGAGGTTGTATCATTTCACTTTTGCAACAACGAACTGAGAAACGTACATTATGCACAATAGAGATTTCACTAATACAATATTACATAGGGGAGACCATAGAGCAAGTTTCTACACCTTAATTTTACTTCAAATAATATTTCACACAATACTTCATTGACAAGACAGTTTTGAGAACAGAATAAAGAATTTGAGAAAATAATATATATATAAAAAATTAAATAAGCTTGTTTGACAACTAGCCCCTATATTGTAAATGTGTGTGTGCGTGTGTAAAAACTTCTTTGATTTAAGTGAAGTAGGTGCTTAAAAATAATGATGTTTATTATGTTGACAAAATAATAAAAGATGAATATATTATATGATCTGTTTTTTATATTTTCATTTTAAATGCTCAAGTATTAATTTGCTTGCAATAAAATAGATGTAAAACTATCAAATAAATGTTTCAAATAATAGCCCATTTGTTGAAAGTGCTGGTATTCAATGTTCTGTCGTGTTTTAGACTAACAGGGATAGTTAACGGAATGAAAACTATTTATTATTAATGAAAAATGAAAATTATTTATTATTTATGAAAAATAAAAATTATTTATTATTTAAAAATGTATTCGCCCTCAAGTTGTTTCTTTGTTTTTTTTTTAATTCAAAAAATAGATATTTTGGAGAATGTATGTAACCAAACGGTTGCTGGTCCCCATTGACTTTCAGATATTCTTTTGTGTTTAACAATTCATTTTAGAAATCAAATCACATTCCCTGGAGATCTGAAAGTGGAAAATGTAAAAAAAAAAAAAAAAAAATGCTTTCACTCTCACCATGTTTCTGATACACATTGAGTCAACAACAGGAAATGGAGTCCCTTGGTGATGTGTTTAGCCTGGTTCAATTTGTCAACATCAGCGCTGGACTTTTAACACCGGAAGGGAAATTGATCCTGCTTTATAATGAACCAGGACTGTTTCAGATTCAATTTTCTGTCAGTGGCATAATGAGGAACAGACAGTATAAAAAAGTATACAGTTGTTGAAAAAAAAGTTAAAACAATTTTCTGAATAACTCAAGTCTTTACACTAACACTAGCCCGACTATACTCACAAGTTATGAAAGAGGATCCTGTCTGAGTGTTCGTTTTTGATGGTTTAGTTACAGCTCTTCTGCAACAAAACACAGATCTGATCTGCTGTCTGCACTGAGATGAGCCATAGTAGTACAGTAGAGGGTCCAGGAAAACACTTGCGCTCCCCAAACACACAGCCAACAGGTAAGCAGCATATGATGAATCTCCCTCCCCTTTGTTTCCTCCAGTAGCTAAAAGAACACAGTGATACAACAGGATGCCATTGGTTGGTGCAAAACACACTACAAACTCAATCAGCACGGTGATAACCGTAATCACAGCTCTCCTTCGGTTGTCTGAGCGTGATGATGGTTTTGCTAATCGATTAGACTTGCCACTGAGCACATGTATTATGATAAAGTAGCTCACTAAGGTGACAATGAGTGGCACAAAGTAGTAGAGGGAAGAGAGGATGGAGAACAGGTACAGGTATAGCTGATCTGTAGGGTCGTCATGGAAAAGCGCGTCGTGGCAGGTGACGCCCACATCATTAATCTTGAGTGTTTGTGTCATTGAGAGAAGTGGCACCGTCCCAGCGAGCGCCAGCAGCCAGACCAGCACACACACACATGTGGCTTTCCTCGCACTCCTCCAGGTTAGAGAGGCGATGGGAAGCGCCACGGCCAGCAGTCTGTCCACACTCATGCACATCATCAGCAGTATGGAGCAGTACATGTTGCAGTAGTAAGCAGCACTGAGCACACGACACGCCACCTCACCGAACACCCAATTTGAAGCGTTCAGCTGGTAGTGGATCTTCAGAGGCAGCAGCAGGGTGAAGAGCAGGTCCACACACGCCAGGTTAGACATGTAGATCACGGCTGGTTTTTTCACTCGAATCTTACAGGTGAAAGTCACCAAGGCCAAAGCGTTCAGGGGAAAACTAATGAGGACGACCAAGATGTAGAACGAGGGCATGATGCGTGTGACCATCAAGCCTTTGAGGAAGAGAACAGCCTCGTGTGAGATGCTGAATATCTCCAGGAATGTGGTCCGGTTGCATTTTGCAGCATTCAGATCAGTGACGTTACATGGATGTCCATCTTTATAGTTAGACCGTCCGGCAAAACTTAAAAAAACGATCTCTGTAACCAAAAACAACACCAGTGACATCTCTTATAACATCAGAACACGACTAAGAGGTTTTCATGAAGATGTTAAACTAAAGAATCAGTGTCAAAACAAACACAAGACAATTTCCTTCATAGTGAAAGTGTTGTTGGCAGTCTGTCTAAGAGGATTTTGTACCTTTACGGGTTTTATTTGAACTTGAGGAAGAGTTGGGTGATGTCTCATCCATATTGTAGTCAATCGGCTCATCGGTTTGGGTTATATAGGCACGATTAACAGAAAAACTGCGTCCAGATGGGGCTGTAACCAAACACAGAACCATCAGTGATAGCTGTCGCTGCCAGACAAATAAGTTATATCATTTGATAATTTAGTCCTAGCTAAAGCCAGCCATTTTTATTTGTAGAACTCCCAACTCTAAGATCAGCCTCTTTTAAAGGACCTTATTTGATAGATTGCTTTCTATGTGTTTATCACTGTAAATTATAGTAATTTATTGTGTTTATATCTTAGAAACAAATATTTGTAAGTATTTCACAGTAAAATGACATTTATTGTGAAGTGAAACCATTTACAATGCATTCTCAGAAAAAAAGGTACAAAAGCTGTCGCTGCACTCAGATACAAAGGTGTAACTTTTAAAGAGGTGAGAGTGTCTGAGAGTGTTTTATGGTGGTGAAGTAACTTACAGTTTTATTTTAGATGGATGAATGCATTCAAAATATTCATGAGAGTCAAAATCTGCAGTGGTTTTCAAAAATATCTTGCATAGGCTATTGTTGGTCCTACCATGGTAATATTAATAAAAGTTCAATACCAATTAATGAACTTGAAACAAACAATTATGTCCAATGTATAAAGCAGCGAGTGTAGAAATGATAATAGATTAAACATGTATTTATTTATGCAGATTCAGAGTTGTAGGGCAAACAGTTATTTCTTAAGACTGGTCTTCATGCCCGCCCGGCTGCTCTTAGGTCAGAAGTACTGTACTGACAGTATTTAGAGGATCTCTTGATACTATACCTGTTCTGGGTTTCTCATGATCCGGATAAACTGGATTAACAGTTACTGCAGTATCAGATAAATGGTGTTCAGCACTAACTGTAATCAAACATAAAAAAGATTTTTTATATAACATTCTAGACAAATACAGGAAAACGATCGAGATCTCGATATTGCTCCCAGCCAAAACAAACACAGGACACTTCCTAGAAATTCTGTGAACAGTCTCTCTATTGGATGATCGCCTTGAAGGATTACGTTTGAGTATAAATTTAAATGACAAGTTACATAAAAAAACAAAAAAAAAAACAAAAAAAAAAAAAACAAGAAAAACCTGTTGGTTGAAAGGCAACTGGTGTTTTGGAACATTTATTGATGCTTTTTAGCTAGTCTAGTCTTAGAAAATACAACTCGACCTTTCTTTTATGCCTTTTCTCAAAAGCCTGGAGTAGCTTGCTAATGCTGTCACATTGCTTTCACAACTTTATTCATTATTTTTTCTAAAAATAGCCCCATTGGGTGTTTTCAAACCGTTATTTCAGATAGAAATAGTATTCTGTTTTCATCCCTCGAAAAGTTATAAAGTATAAACTAACTATACACACACACCAGCAAAAATAGGAGCCGTCGCTTTTCAAAATCATAAGCTTATTTTCTTGCATAATAACTTACCGTTAAAGATGGCAGTGCATGTCTGCGCAGTTAGAGTTAAAAACAAGATAGTTTGGATTTCCATGATGTGTGAACTATTGTCTGTTTCTAGAACAAAAAGTTAATTTCAGTACGAAAAAAACAAGCTCTTCAAACTGAAGAAAGGAAATGTTGCGCGTGAAGTTTCCAGTCGCCGTCTGAACACTGATGTGGCTCCAGCGAGGATGTGCGTTACAATGTGGTGACATCACGGACCCTACGTCCCCGATGGCTGCTTATTACAGTAGCCTAAACCCGCACAGCGTGCCTGGCGTCCCCACAGCGCCCCTGGGAAAGTAAGCAGCCACTTACACTTTACAGTTCAACATGACACAAAGAAAATCAGACAGACAGACAGACAGACAGACAGACAGACAGATAGACAGATAGACAGATAGATAGATAGATAGATAGATAGATAGATAGATAGATAGATAGATAGATAGATAGATAGATAGATAGATAGATAGATAGATTGTTGTTTCTCATGCATATTGTCAGTTTTACTTAATAAGTGTTTGTTTAGTCAATTTAACACAAAATGCACAAATTAATAAAACAATATTGTGCACTGCTTACGGCAATAATCCAAATACACATATTTAGGCCTGTATAGGAATGAAAATAACATCAAAACATTTATTTCCATCATTTCATACATTTTTGGTCACGATGTTGTACTCTGTAAAGTCTCCTCCACATCCCAAAGGTCTGGACTCAGAGGAGCAGGTTCATCTTTGGAAATTATTCTTCATGATTTTATTCCATCAACTCTCTATTACCGAAATTCTTCAAAATATCTTCTTTTGTGTTCAGCAGAAGAAAGAAATTCATACAGGTCTGAAACAATTTGAGACTGCATTTCATTTTTAAGTAACTATTCATTCCTTTAATATGTACATCTGTATATTAGGCCTTCTACTTACCATTAAATGTAAATGCCTTTTTTCCTTACTCATTTAATTTTTCTAGATTTACATATATTATGTTGTTGTTTTTTCTTTATTTCTACAAACTTCATTCTTTCTCTCTACTTGGAAACCAAATTCCTTGTGTGCTTGTGCACACATGGGGAACAAAGTGTGCTCTGATTCTGTATGATCATCAATGTAATTGAATGATTTGATTTTGTTTATGCTGCTCTATAGACACGAATCAAAATTGGCAGAATTTCATAGAAAAACAGCATTTTTCATAGAAAAAAAAAACATTTGCTTATTCATGTGAGACACTCGACCTCCGACTGCAAGATAACAAACACACACATATGCTCAGTGGCCGTTTCCGGTTTGGAAGGCAGTGCTAGGAAGGGAAAGGAATGTAAACAGAGTTTAGAGTCCAGTAACCTAGCCTTTTAAAACCTGTTTTTAAATGTTGCTTAAATGCTGAGAGGTTGAGATGACTGTCAAATGTGGCTCAATTTACAGAGATTTACTCGTCGCTATCAATTTTATCAGGTTTTAAATCGGCATTAAATCTAAATAGACAGTTCATGTCATGTCACACTTTATCCCTTCAGACTTGAATTATGTTTCAAGTCTCTGAAAAATATGAAAGTACATTTTCCCAGCCCATGATGCTTCTATAAATGAGATAAAAAAAATAAAATAAATAATAAAATGTTGGCTTTAATTGTAATTTTTTTTGATGATGTAATTTATGTTAGGTATACGGTATAATTATACAGTAATAATAATGATAAATTTAATAATGATGAATTTAAAATATCTTATTTTGTGTTCAGCAGAATAAAGAAACTTATACAAGTTTGGAACAACATTAGGGTGAGTAAGTGATGACAAATATATTTTTTGGGTGAACTATCCCTTTAAAGGATGAAAAAATTTAATTAGCCCATGATTTACTTTAGCCCTCTAGCCATCCCAGGTGTATATATTCTTCTATTCTTTCGAATACAATGAGAGTGTCCTGGCTCTTCCAAGCTTTATAATGACAGTGAGTTGGTGTTTCTGTTGTGAAAGTCCATAAAAGTGAATTTATCCATGATAAAAGTGCTCCACATACTCTGGGGGTTAATAAAGGCTTTCTTAAGCAAAGCGATGGATGTATAGGGAAAGATGCATGCAGGCTACACAGGGACCGTGAAGACACTGAATTTAACATAAAACGACCATCATAATAATCACAAATACACTTACATTTCTGTAAATCAGTTTTTAGGAATGAATGGCTTGCTCTAATTGTTGCTCTGGTCTTTGTCAATAACACGTGCTCGCACTCTACTGCTCTTCCTGCAGTTCCTGGATGTCAACGTTGAATTTCAACCACTGAATTTGTGGAAGCGAATTTGTAAAGCGAAATAAAATGGGCCAAAAATTGCTTGTTGAATATTGTATTGTATTTTTAAGCAGTTTTATTTTATATTTTGGAAGTGAAATATGAAATGTGAATATGGATTATTGAATTATTGAATATTGAAAAATGCAAGTTCTAAAAATGCAATGCTTTTTAAATGCAAGCATGGTTTCAAAAACATTTGGCATTATTTAACTTCCATAATAGTGCTATTGTCTTGATTCGTGTGCTTGTTTTCTCACAACCTTGATCTGAAAAAAAAAAAACACACACTTAATCACCAGCTGTCTAGTGTGATAAAGGTTTTATTTGAAGACTAAATAGTAACATTCCATTCACAGGACTAGAATGCAGAATGCCACAAACAGCATGACTCTATACTGTATGTATATATATATATATATATATATATATATATATATATATATATATATATATATATATATACATATATATATATATGAACTGAAAATATTTAATGACTTATATATTTATTTATATTTAATTTAGATATATATATATTTTCTTGCAGATTCAGTTTTGGAACTACTAGCCAATTTTTTGGAAAATTAATTTTGAAATCATTAATGTAAAATGAAACTATAATAACACATTTACTCATAGAGTAAATTCATCAAGGATGTAAGTAAAACATAAATTCACTTTATGTAACGCTACATCCTCGCCACTAGATGTCCGTAATACATCAACCAGGCCAGCACGATTTACACAAAACACGACTGATTGACACTCGTGTTTATCGGTATTGTGTAATATTAGTTTAACTGAAACCAGAAGCAGATGTGTTTTGAACTCGAATACACATTTTTTTATAGTTTAACTCTTGGTTTTGAAATGCTTTAAACATTTTTATCGTGGATAGCCTATTTGTTTTTACAAGCCTATTTGTGCACTTAGCCTACTGTTTTTCTGTGGTCTCTTTCTGATCCTCCTGACGCTATTTTGATCGGTTTCTTAACCAGGTATTAAGCTATCTAATTGTTTAAATAATATAGTTTGTTTTGTAATATATTCGCTAATGCCATTCCAAAATTAGCCTGATACAGCCAATAATTCCAAATAACTTAGGCTGCTACTCTAACCAATCGCTCTGTTTGTTTTCTGAATATCATTCAGAATGTATTTAGTAGACCTATAACACCAGCACAAGTGACACACAGATGTACAGGAAGCGCATGCATCCTGACATTTCTGACACATTCAGTTATTCTGATGTTACTCAGACATTCAGTCTCCTCAATGAAACTCACAGTAATGATGAAATTTAAAGAGATGTGGAAGAACATGAACACACACATGCATGTATCTTGTGTGTGTTTGATTACAAGCATAAGGCCTATTTGTGGCTTAATTCATTACAATTGGCATTTACTGAGGCTTTCAAGTAATACGCAAGGGAAATGTTTGTCCAGATAAACAGGACATTACGTTTTACAAGTCTCAAAAGTCTACAGTTTATGTTGTCTTAAATTAGAGGGTTTAATTTCACTTTAATCATGAAACATCTTTTCTAAATTGTTTCCTGTGGTGTCATGCAGTTGGTGGTAATTCTATCCAACATCTTTCCTGTAACTCCAACTTAGAGCGGGCCCAAGGCAGAACATTTCTCCAGCACAATTAGCTGTAAAGGTCAGAGTGTTAAAACCATCCATGATTAGAAAACAAGATAGTATTGACTGCCTATTAACCTATCAACCTGTTGGTACAAGGGACCAGAACTCAGGAAGCCAATTTGAGATAATTTCTGCTCCTTCTGGGCCATTTTTATGACATCATAATGACCTCTTCTTGTGATTTGCACTGTAGTGGATTCTCCCTGTAATCTTCTATTTCCTGACCCTTTAGTTCTCAAAATAGATACTCAGATCATTCTCAGGAAACTGCAGTGACAGTAAGTATTTTCTTTTTAAATAAATGCTGAAATTTCCATTTATCAAAAAATCCTGCAAAAATCTATCATGCATGGTTTTCACAAAAAATTTTCATTTCTATTATTGATAATAATAAATGTTTATTGAGCAGTAAATCAGCATATTCGAATTTCTGAAGGATCATGTGACACTGAAGACTGAAGTAATGCATTTGCATCACATGAATAATTTACATTTTAAAATATATTCATAGAAAACAATTATTTTAAATTGTAATAATATTTCACAATATAACTGTTTTACTGTTTATGCACAAAAAAATGTGAGCATGACACTTCTTTCAAAAATATTACATTAAAACAATCTTAACGACCCCGATTTTGTGAACTGCAGCATTTTTAATCAAAATTAAGTACATTTACTTAAAGCCACACAGTGGAACTCTTCAACCTTTATAATATATTACCAAAACCCATTGAGATGGTAGATCGACTTGCAATAGGTTGAATGACGCGTCTGCCGTCTCCTGGAGGTGTCTGTATCGCTTTTACTTGCACTTTGTAACTTCGGGTTTCGGGTAGGAACCCGAGCATAAAAACAACTACAAAATTCGACCGCTTTACGGCATACGTCACTTCCCCCGCCACCCACAACTTCCTCAGAATCTAACGCTAGTGCTCAACTCGCGTTTGACTGCCGTCTGTATGTTTTCGTCATGCCAAACAACAGCTACAAGGAAGAAGGCAACGGTTTTATCAGAGAAAAACTAAAAAAGAAAAGGGGAGAGTGACCAATTGAAAGCCAGGACAAGGATTAACACATTGGTCCAGCTTTCGCTTCCCTCGCTGGCGTGAGCTAACGGAGGAGAAAGAGTGCTCGACCGATGCGGACGCTTGCCTGCACACAAATGCCGTTTCTAAGGTAACCCAGATAAACTCATATAAGCAGTGTAGTATTTTCTGGTATTCCGGCCACAGCCGATGGTGTTATGAGTGTAATAAAA